CCAGAGACGCTCTGTGCTCTGCCAGCTGGCCGTGGGAAGCACAGCGAGGGCAGCTGTGCCCCCAGAGGGAGGGTCCAGAGTGTGTTTATCCCCTGCTCTGGCCTGGGACCCAGCACCCTGCCACCCAGCACAGTGGCCCGCAGCTCAGGCCCAGCTGCCCAGTCTGTAATCCCTGCCTCCCAGCCCAGCCCATCAGGGAGGAGGGCACGGGGGCCGCCCCAGCCGCTGTGGTAGTGCAGCCTGCCCAGCCTGTCTGGGGACGGGGCGTGCCCCGACTTGGGGAGCGCTGCTCCAGCCAAGGCACCACCATCTGTGGCCTAGGGCGTGGGGAACCAGGCGCTGTCACACCCTTCCTCGGGGGCAGGGTGCTGTACCTTCCCCTGCCCGGCACCCTGTGCAATCATTTATGAGAGCCGCCCAGCCTGGCCTGACCCTCAGACGTCTGCACTCTTCATGGGCCAACCCAGGAGGTTCCCAGAGAGGAAGGTGGGGCGAAGGGACCCCGCCAGCTCAGGCCTGACATTGCTGGCTGTGCGCAGGTGACCACAGGTGCTCTGCCCAGCCCCACCTCCAGGGCCGGGCTGTCCGCTGTGCTGGCTCTGGTCCAGAGAGGATGGAGGTGGGGACTTTGGTCCCATCCAGGGTGTGGGTGTGACTCCTGGGCTGGGCCTTCTCAGGTGGTCGAGTCGGGTGTTCTGGACCAGCTAAGCACCGAGGAGCGCAAGAGGCAGGAGGTGAGGCCACCCCTCGTCCCCTGTGGCCGCCTCCCCATACAGCCCTGCCCCAGGACCAGGCACTGTCTGAGCCCCTACTGTGCCCTCACGGGTACTCAGCAGCCTTGGGGGGACCCTGCACCTTCTCGGGCTGTTTCTGCAGCTCTTAAGTAGCTAAGCCACAGTGCGAGAGCAGGGACGTGGACTTGTGCCCCTGCCGGCTCCCTCCAGCTCTGCACCTGCTGTGCCTGCTGTCCCCTTGCCTCCTGGACCTTCCCTGCTGTCCGAGTGCTGTCCAGGCTGGTGTGTAGCCTGGACTCCCATGCAGGCTCACCAGCTGCTCACACAGGCCATCTTCGAGATCCTCACGTCCGAGTTCTCCTACCTGCACAGCCTGGGCACCCTGGTGGCCGCGTTCCTGCGGTCCCCGGTGCTGCGGGCCACCATGACACAGACGGAGCACCATCACCTCTTCTCCAACATCCTGGACGTCCTGGCTGCCAGTCAGAGGTGAGGCTTCTGTTGGGGACAGGCGCTTCCCCACGGAGCCTCAGTGAGCCGCTGCGGGATGCAAGGGGGAGGGGCAGGGCCTGGGATGGCGGCCACCCCTGCCAGGGCCGACCTTGCCAGGTAGACCCTGCCTGCCCGGCGTGGTCCCACTGCACCGAGTGCTTTCCAGCCCCTGTGGGCTTCAGGCCTTGGCTGTGGCTCTGGCTTCCTCCTGTGGCCATTCACAGTGGCCTCGCTGAGGCCCGGTGCTATCTGAGGTCAGTGGTTGAAGGTAGCTGTCCCAGACTGTTCCATCAGAGCCCTGTGACTGGCCCGGTGCATGTGTGGAAGGCCTGTGGCCACGTCCACAGGGCCTCCCATCCTGACCCTGACCCACTGTCCTGCTTGCCACAGCTTCCCAGGGTCAGTTGGTGCTCAGAGTAATGCTCCGCAGCAGCAGGGTCTCCTTGAGCGTAGAGCATCCGGCCGGGTCCTAAGGGACACCTGCCACATTGAGGCCGGCTGAGGGGTTCTCAGAGGTCAGAGGCCTGGCAGGAGGCCTAGAGAGGTGGCCAGCCTCAGGGACTGGCCTTGGTATCTGTGAGATGGACCCAAGGCCCAGTCACCAGCCTTATCCATCAGAGGCTGCTGTGCGCCTAGAGAAACCCGGAGCAGGACCTGGGGTCGGCTGTGCTCTGTCACCCTGGCTGGGGGCCTGGCTGTGGAGGAGGGCAGGGGCTGACAGTCGCCTCTGGGAGTCTCTCAAGGGCGGGACTTGCCTCCCTGCATGCCTCGGCTCGCCCTTAGGATGAGCTGGTGCACGATGAAGGCCCCAATGCTGTCCAGGGAGCAGGTGGAGCTTCACAAGGAGGGACCCATGCCTGGAGGCGGGCGTGGCTGCCTCATCCTCAGGGCCAGGAGGCGGGACCTTGTGCTTCCGTCCTTGAGCTTGCTTCTGGGGTGGGCCAGGGTTGTGCCCTGCTGTGGGGCCAGGGGACTAGGCTGATCCCTCCTCTGGGGGGCTGTGGCATAGGCACTGTACCCACCCACCTGTGGGCCCAGGTGGCTAGCTGCCTGCAGCTCAACCCACCTCGTGCAGTGCGTGTGCCTGTGCACATGCATCTGCCTAGACACCCGTGTGTGTGTGTGTGTGTGTGTGTGTGTGTGTGGCTGTGTGTTGCACGCATATGCATGTGTGTGCATGCAGCACACTACCAGGACACGCCCTAACTGCCCTCCACACCCAGGTTCTTCAAGGCCCTGGAGCAGCGGCACCAGGCACAGGTGTGTGTGGAGGACATCAGTGACATCCTGGAGGAGCACGCAGAGAGGCACTTCCACCCCTACGTGGTCTACTGCTCCAACGAGGTCTACCAGCAGCGCACGCTGCAGAGGCTGACGTGAGTGCCCCCCAACCCCTGCGCTTGCCCACAGGCTCACGCTGCCGCGTAGCCGGGCCGAGCCGCGTCCTCTCCCGCAGGGGCAGCAACACCGCCTTCCGAGAGGCGCTGCGGGACATTGAGAAGCAGCCGGCGTGCGGGGGCCTGCCCATGATCTCCTTCCTGATCCTGCCCATGCAGCGCGTGACCAGGCTGCCCCTTCTGACCGATGTGAGCATCGAGGGCTGGGGATGGACTTCCGCAGGCACCCCGCCCACAGGCCACCTGCCCCCTCGGCCCTGTGGTTAGTTGCCATGACCATTTTGAGGCCGTGTGAATAACGGGGTCACTATGTGGTCAGGGTCACAGCTGTCCTCCCCTGCAGAGCACACACAGGCACACACACACCTGGACCCCACACACAGACGCACGTGACAGGAGCCCGGCTGAGGCGATGGAGGCGCGGGAGCTGGGGCTCAGGGGGGTGCAGTCCTGCTGCACACAGCCTTGGACCCACAGGACTGGAGTTCCAGAAATGGGTCTCCAGGGCCTCCCTGGCCATGCCCCAGCTGGAAAGAGGCGGCCTCTGATGGGAAGGAGCGCGGCGGCGGCAGCTCCGTTTGGGGGCCCAGCCAAGCCTGTTTGGGGGCCGTGTGCACAGTGGCCCAGCAGGAGTGGTCTGGAGACCTCGCCTTCCCACGTTTAGGGTTGTGGGAGCCCTGCTCCATGCAGGCCTCCAGGGGCTCGGCCCCTCACAGCTGGTGTCTCCTCCAGACCCTCTGCCTGAAGTCCCAGGGCCACCCTGAGAGGTACAAAGCTGCCAGCCAAGCCTTGAAGGCCATCAGCAAGGTTAGATGGGGCCAGGAGGTGGGGTCAGCATGGGGGTCAGGCCAGGATAGAGGTGGGGCCTGGATAAAGGGGCTGTGGCTTCCCAATGGGGCGGGGTCCAAGTGGGGGTAGGGCTGGGATCAGGATTGTGGAGGGAAGGCGGGTCAGGATAGAGAAGGGGGTGGGGCAGGATCAGAGGTAGGGCAGAGGGAGGAGGTGAAGCCAGGACAGGGGAGGGAATGGCCAGCCCTGGTCCTGCCCCAGGCTCCTCCCCCGCCTCCTCCCCCAGCCCCATTACTGTCCCCACTCCCCTGTGGTGTAGAGAGTAGGATAGTAGGATAGAGATAATACTGGTGGGGAAACTGAGGCTTGGAGCCAGCGGGGACACCCACAGCAAGGCGGGGCCCTGGAAGGCAGGCAGTGGGGCGGCGAGGGCAGGGGCTGGGCCCCCCCCCACCTCACGCCTCGCTCCCTGCCCCTGCCCTCGCCGCTGCCTCGGGGCTCTGCAGCTGGTGAAGCAGTGCAATGAGGGGGCGCACACCATGGAGCGCACGGAGCAGATGTACACGCTGCACACACAGCTGGACTTCAGCAAGGTCAAGGTGGGTGCTGCGCTGCCGGCGCCTCTGCTGTCCCCGAGGTCGACCGCTTCGAGGACGAGAGGCCTGCGGGGCGCCCACCTGGGGTGGCTGTGCCTTGGGTCCCTCCCCGCCTCGGTTTCCCTGTTGGCAGCTCCCCTCATGTGCCACCATCCCCGAGGCTGTGTGGACGGGCCTGGGTGTGGGGAGGGTCAGCCAGTCCAGGTGGGGGTGGCATGGCTGGGTCTGGCTGAGTGGCTAGAGCACGTGGGGCGCAGGTGGGCTGCAGCTGGACTACCAGCCCAGCAGCAGGGCTCTTCCCGCTCTTCCACTCTGTCCTGAGCCCTGTCCACCCAGCTCAATGCCAGGCCCCAGGTCAGGGTGCTCCCCATCCAGCCGGGGCTCAGGACTGTAGCCAACTGAACACCCTGTGCAGCCCCGAGGGCAGCCAGCCGGTCACCCAGTGGACCCTGGGAGCTGCGCCGCCACCTGCCTGCCCAGTGCGGGCCCTTGTCCACCTGGCCACTCTGTCCCCAGTCTTTCCCCCTCATCTCCGCCTCCCGCTGGCTGCTGAAGCGAGGGGAGCTGTTCCTGATGGAGGAAGCCGGGATTTTCAGGAAAATCGCCAGCCGGCCCACCTGCTACCTGTTCCTGTTCAACGATGTCCTGCTTATCACCAAGAAGAAGAGGTGGGCGTGTGGCTGGCCACCGCCGGTGGGGAAGCCGGAAGCCAGGAGGCCAGGGAACAGCCGCCCTTGGGAGCTGTGTCACACCGTGGAACAGAGTGGCCGCACGGCTCCTACGGGCAGCCTGGCTCCCTCAGGCCTCAGGGACCCAGCAGTGCGAAGCCCCTGTCCCCAGGCACCAGGGCAGGGCTTAGCTCTTAGGAGCATTGGCGTAGAGCCTCACTGGTCACCCGTGTCCCCACAGCGAGGACAGCTATGTGGTCCAGGACTACGCCCAGCTGGACCACATTCAGGTCCGGAAGCTGGAGCCCTTGGAACCGTCGTTGCCGGGAGCCGGCACCCGCAGCTCCTCCGTGCCTCACCCCTTCCAGGTGACCCTGCTGCGGAACAGCGAGGGCCGCCAGGAGCAGGTCCTGCTGTCCTCGGACTCCGCGTAAGACAGGAGGGACCCAGGGAGGCTTGGGTGGGCGGGAACCCTGCTCTGTGGGCTATATCTGGGTAGCAGCTGTGTCGGGTGCTGCTGCAGCCTCCAGGGGCCAGCCCTGAGCAAGACATCCTGTCTGGGTGGTGCATGTGTTCCCAGAGGGGACCCTGGAATGTGTGGTGACCAGAGGGAGGGAAGGATGAGGTGGTGAGAAGACTCAGTGTGTGGGGGGGGAAGGTGTGGCTTGCCCTGAGGCGGGGGGGGGGGGGGGAGTGAGGCTGTGAACAGGGAGGATGCCACGCAGCAGCACGGCCCTGGAGAGGTCCTGGGGCAGGGCCCATGGAGCAGCAGGGTGCACGCAGGGGCCGGAGCACAGGGCCCGGGGCAGTGAGGCAGATGAGAGCAGGCAGTGTGCAGTGCATAGAGCAGGGGCTGGCCCAGGTCAGAGCCCTCGGGGCCTGTAGAAGGGAGGAACAAGTCCTCACTGTCCTCCCTGGCCCCCAGGAGTGACCGGGCCCGGTGGATCACAGCGCTCGCCTACAAGGAGAGGCAGTGGCAGGGTCCCACCAACAAAGGAGGTGAGCATGGGTGCCAGCCCGGGGGGACCGCCATGTCGCAGCCTGGCCCCGGATGCGCGTCAGTGCCCCCTGTGCACTTGGACCTGCTCAGTCCTGAGAGGCCCGGCCTGGGCCCCATGGCCTCAGGGCAGACAGGGCCGCGTGAGCCCCATCCCCTCCACCCTGCTGGTGGCCCTGGCCTGTGCCCTCACTGTGCCGCCTCCTCAGAGCTGCCCCAGGTGGAGGTCACCAAGGCCTACTTCGCCAAGCAGGCGGACGAGGTCTCCCTGCAGCAGGCGGATGTAGTGCTGGTCATGGAGGAGGAGGATGGTGAGTGCGGGCGCAGGGTCAGTTCAGGGGGACGCGGGCGCTGGTGTCCCCAGGATAGGGCCCAGGGAACGGCCTGCCTCTCACGGACCTTGACCGGTGCCCAGGGTGGCTACATGGAGAACGGCTCCGAGACGGAGAGACGGGCTGGTTTCCTGAGGATGTCGCCCGGCGCATCACCAGCCCTGTGGCAGTGGAGGGCAACGTGCGCAGGATGGAGCGGCTGCGGATAGAGACAGACGTGTAGTGGCAGCTGCCCCAGAGCTGGCCTGCAGCAGGGGCAGCTTCGTCCCAACCAGTGCCTGGCCCTGCGAGGCTCCAGCTCCACAGGAGGAAGAGCTTGTCTGCCCTCCGGAGAAGAGTGCTGGGACCAGCTCACAGGCTACCAGTGCCCAACCCAGGCTGCGTTTCATGGGACTCTGGCCCAGCCCCCAGCTTCTGGCTACAGCACCCCCATCTGGTGGGGCCCATGGGCAGCTGTGGGAGATTGATGGGATTTGAGGACCAGCCTGGGACCGTCTCCCCCGTGGCCTTCCTGCTCCCAAATGGACAAGAAGGACCCTTGAGGTCCCAGTGGTGCCCACACTCTCATCTGGGGGTGCAGCAAGGAGCGGAGGGAGCTGCAGAGCCGGCAGGAAGACCTCAGCGCTGAGCTTTTAAACATTAAAGTGTTTCTTTAAAACTTGGGTTTCCACAGTGAGCCTGAGCCCAGGTGAGGCCCATACCTAGCTATGTGTGTCCCCGTGAAGCCCCCAAGATGCTGTGGGCTCAGTGCTGGTCCCTGGCTCTGGCTTATCTGCCCACAGGCCTGAGCATGGCGGGCAGAGCTCTGCTGCAGTGACAGGGCCAGGGTGGCCACAGCAGGGCCTCGAAGGGCTGGGCGCAGCCATGGGGCCTGAGGGCTTGGACCCCTCTGGGTGGCCTGGAGCTGAACTGCCTCCACCCCTCTGCTTGCCCGTCGCCTGCCCCTAGCCTCTGCTGGCCTTCCAGTTCCTGAGGGTGCTTGGGTAACGTTATGGGGTAGGGGCCCCTATCACACACTGGAGAATCTGTCCTGATCTCGCTGGGCCCGACGTCTGTCTGGGAACCGGAGTGCATCTTCCCAGGCACAAGATGCAGGTACTGGAGGTAGTGCGGTGGGCAGGGACCAAGCCACGCAGGGGCTCTGTACCAGCAGGGCCGAGTGGCAGAGCCCAAGCAGGGGTCTGATCAGTGGCTGCCTATCAGGAGGGGCAGGGCCAGCACGCAGAGAGGCGTGCTCAGGGGGCACTGGAGACGGGGCCCAGCCCTCTGAGCCCCACGAGCTGGGCCAAGCCCCACCCTTCCCAGGACAGCTGGGCAGGCTGTGGGTGGCGAGCACACATGTGCTCAGGACCTTGTGTACCTGCATCTGGCGGTGGGGACCAGCACAGGCTGCCGTCACAGACCGGCTGCCCTGCTGCCACCTGCTTCTCAGCCCCACAGGAGGGCCAGGGTCTGGGACAGTCAGAGTCATCCAAGAGGGGAGCTCAGCCCTGCCTCACACGGCAGCGAGCCCTGCAGAGTGGGCTCGGGGCTGTGAAGCCCGGACTGACTCTGCTGTCCTCAGTGGTGTCCAGGCCAGAGGGCTCGTGGTAGTCTGCACGTGGTAAAAGCAGCTGCAGCCACAGCAAGGCCGAGCACGCGGCACAGAGTAGGGGACAGCCCGGCGCCCACCGCCATCTCTGGCGCCAGCCATCCAGACAGCGTCCCCAGCCCGACCCTCTGGGCCCCTCCCAGCTCTGCAGCTGTGGCAGCCAAGGGTGAGCCGGTTTTCTCACTCAGACGCCTCTGACCTTGTCTGTCCTCCGTGTCTGGGGCCACTGCTCCCCACCCCTGAGGACAATCCTGCTGTCCCTGTGTGGCCAGGACAGATCCCAGCAGGGCCTGTCCAGTGGCGTGGCCAGGGCAGGCCCTTGGCTGTGAGGACCCTCCTGTTGCAGATGGGGAAACTGAGGCCCAAAGGTGCTCTACCTGCATCTGGGGTCCGCGGACTTGCAGGGATCTCTGGAGGCTTCTGATGACGTCAGCCAAAGCCGGGGAGGCTGCTCCTGAGGAGCAGACACTGAGGCGCTGTGGGGGGTGGTGTGGGGGCTGCAGGGGCCCTTCCCAAGGTCACCCTGCAAGGGAACCAGAGCCAGGGCAGCGAGCCGGGCTGCAGGCCCTCACCTGGAGAGCCCCGAGGGCCCCGCGGGGGAGGGGTGGGACACGGGGGGAGGGGCGGTAGCCAGCCCTCCATCAGGACTAGCATGGGGCGCGTCACAACCGCAGCGGCTGCTCCCTGGCCTCAGCCCTCTGACCCCAGCCCTCCATAACCCACTAAACGATGCAGTAGGGGTGGCACGGAGGAGGGGCTCGCAGGACCTCGGGGTTACTCTTTTCAGCGTGGCTCTGGCATTCGGTGGTGCCCTCGAGTGCCCCCTGTTGGCCAAGAGTGGCACTGCTGGTCAGGCTTGCACCGAGGCACTGAGAAGGGGAAGCTCCAGCAGCAGCACCCCTGGGGTCCAGACACCCCTGTGCCTCTCCTCTGGCTGAAACTCTTGCTCCATGGCTTCCTCCTGCAGGCCTGTGATCCCAGCAAGGCTCTACCCCTGCCCTTGGCCATCCAGGGTCTGTCTGTGCTCACTGGTCCAGGCTGGAGCCTGGGAGGGCCACCAAATTCCTCCCCCGACCGCCGCCTGCGGCCTGGCATCCAACAGGCCACGCCTGCCCCACATGGAAGGACTAGGAGAGGGTATCTGTAGCGCCACATCCACGCTCTGCTGTCTGAATTTGTTCGGGCCTCCTCCTTAGGCCCGTAGAAGCTCTGGGTTGAGTGTGGTCACGCACTGCCTGTAATCCAAGCACTTGGGAAACTGAGGCAGGAGGGTTGCTGTGAGTTTGAGTTCAGCCAGATCTACACAACGAATTCAAGGCCAGCCCGAACTGCATAGTGAAATCCTGTCTCAAAAAGACAAATAAATAAATAAAAGTTCTTTGGAGGAGTGGAAAGACAGGAATCAGCGGCCGGACTTGGTCCCAGGTAGGCAGTTTCTTGTCCACGCTGAGCGGTGTTCTGAACTGTTGTCCAGCTGGTTACTGCTGTGGCTCCAGAAGCAGAGGAGCCCGTGCCCTGCTCCTGCGCTGGCTCCACCCCGCAAGCTCTTGCAGCCAGCTTGCTCCTCCCAACGGTACTGCTGCCCGGGCCACCGAGCTCCGCAGGTGGGAGGCACCGTGACAGTGCCACGTGTTCCAATCTCTGACCTGGCCCAGTTCCAGGGTGGCCATGCAGAGCCAGTAGCCAGGACTGCTGCAGAGCCTGCCTCCTGGGGGAGAGGCACAGAGGCACAGGACAGGGTCGTGTCAGGAGCAATGGCGATCACTGCGGTGGGTGAGGAGATCACTGGGAGGCAGGGCTGGGACCGAGCCTCGCACATAACCATCAGCAAGTCTCCTCTGCCAGGCGCCCGAGTGCCAGCTCCAGCCAGGCACAGAACCGCACCAAGTGCTTCCTGCTTCCCGGCATGCTCCACGCCCGGGGAACATCTTGTCCTCGATCAGGCTGAGTTACTTCCTGCGCTGCTTTCAGCAGCTCGGAGTCCAGCAGGATTCTGCCCCTGCGTGAGGGGTCCACGGTGGCTTCTCCCCCTGCCCCTGGTTTGCAAACCGCTTCTAGTGGCCCCGTGGAAGGAGCTAATGAGGTAGCTGCTGCGTGTTTGCAGCTTCTGGACCAAGCTGTATTAGCTAAGCTCACGGTGCCCTGAGGGCTGGAGCACGGCTGCTGGGGACATCAGGCTGGGCAGAGCAGGGGGCGCCCCGTCCCTTTGCTGCAGAACTTGAGTTCCTACGGTCCTTTCAGCATGGTTTCATCTGTATTTACTCACATTTTGCTTCCCCCCACCCCCACGTATGCCTCTTCCTGTTCTGCCACGGGTCCATAGCCACAATATTCATTTTTAATATTGCATATGTAATTGATTTGCCCTTTTTTCTCACTTCATGTTTTAAATATCACTCTCCTCGGCTTACTAGTCTTTGAAGAAGGAACTTCTGGTTTTCTTCAATGTTCTAGGGCTCTGGGTAGCTTGCCTCATATGTGCAAGAGCCTGGGACACACACACACACACACACACACACACACAATGTTCATTTTTCAAGCTTTGCTGAGTACACAGCTCATGTACATGAGCGTAAATGTGTGCACGTAGTGTGCAATTGTAGACAGATGCACACGTAGCCGTGCAATGGTTTATTCAGGTTATTGCTCTCAGCCTGTTTATGTTTGTAAGCAGCATGTGAACCCTCCAGCTGTAATTTTTTTTTTTTTTTTTTTTTTTTTTTTTTTGCAGAACCAGGGATTGAACTCAGACCCTTGCGCTTGCCAGGCAAGCGCTTATTCCACTAAGCCAGCTCCCCGGCCCCTGTAATTTGTTATATTCGCTGAGCGCTGTGGATTTGGAGCCTGCTGGGCACATCTGTGTGTTCTCTGGACAGCTGCGCTGCTTTCCCATGCAGCACCAGGACCCCTAGCCCAGCTCCCTTTGGCTCTCTTTGTGCCTTTCAGCTCGGTCTTTATGGCCCTGGTTCCAATGCTGTGGGGCGCTCGGCTCTGGGTCCTCCCCATGACTGTCCCGTTAGGGAGTCCTACCCTATTCCTGCACATGTTTTACAGCCTAACTTCCTGCCCTCCGCAGATGGACACAGATGTCCCACAGGGTCCACGTGTGGTGTCAGTGTCCCTTAGCACATCTGCACGTGTCATCTTTTGCCACAGGACAAGTGACTTCCCCCTTCAGCTGCCCACCCACACTTTCCTACCGTGGCCCCGGGGTGCCCTTGTGGGTTAAGAGAGGTACCACATGTTTCTGAATTACTAAGGCACATGGAAATGTGAATGAGAGCCCGCAGCTCCCTTGCAGGCCTCCATTCCCAGAGCTGAAGAATACCCTGCAGGAGACTCTCAGACTAGGCCACCCGCGGCCAGGAAACCTGGATCAGTGCACCCGTGTCTCTGTGCTTTGGGACTGTTGAGCTGGCATGAAATTCAGGCTTCAAAATTCTTTGACATCTTGAGGCCAAAGTGCAATTTCCTGGCTTTCTACAGCCTCCCATCAGCCAGGCATAGTGGTGCACGCCTGAAAACCCAGCACGTGGGAGGCGGAGGCAGGCGGCCCCTGCACATGGCAGGTCAGCCCGGGCTGCACAGAGGGCCTATCTCAAGAAAGGAGAAGACAAAAGGAACATGAAGTCCCCGTCAATCTGACCCCTCTTCCTCCTCAGCAATTCCTCTTTGCTGCCACGCTGCAGCTCCTCCTTACACGGATGACCTACCTGTGCAGACGAGCGAGGCGCACTGCTGGGACTGGCCACCTGCCTTTTGAGGGTACTGTTCTGTGATCCAGCCTATGTGCAGGGCACCCTGTTCACACAGTGCAGCACAGCACCGAGCTTGGGGCTGTCACACACCACAGCGCTGCCCATGAGAGTCACACAGACGAAAGCAAGGAATCAGGTTGGCGTTTTCCTTCACCGCTTCTTTTTTCTAAATATTGCAATATGCATACTTCATACAACACCTCACTGAGTGACTGGTTCTCTTCACCAAGTCACAGGACTGGACCCCAGCTGTTAAGTGAGGAGAGCCTGAGTTCTAGGCCCCGCAAGTGTTGTTTCGCTTTGCCCCTGGAGCTGAAGCTGCTCACTGCATCCCGCCAATGTCTCCACCGCACGCCGTAGGCAGATGCTAGCCCCTCCACTGGCTTTCTCCATTCCCTGCATGGCTCCAGGGAGGGAGTCCTCAGCTGGCAGTCCCAGCTGCTCAGCACACCCCAGGATCACCCATTTGTAGTCTGGGGTCACAGGCACCCTGCTCCTGCAACACTTTACCGCTTGGTCACCCTGGCCCTCTGCTTCCTTGGGAGGCTCAACGCAAGCCTCTGCCGATTTGCCTTCCAGTGCTGTGGGCGCCCTGTGTCTGTGGAGGGTGACTAGGACCCTTACTGGAACCCTCCTTCCTGTGCCCTGCAGTATCCTGTGCCCCAGGCATGCGCCACCTTGGCTGGTATTGGAGGGGCAGGGGACCCCAGGGCCACCTCCTCCTGGTGGCAGGTGGTGGCAGAGTCACAGGGGAGTGGCCACTGTTCAGGTCCATACTCTCCCCACCAGCCACTCCCATCCGGACACACCCACACACTGTACCCCAGTGGCTCCACAGCCTCCAGGCCTGGCTGGTCTCTCCCGGGGAGCTCATGCCCCTTCCCTCTGAGAGGCCGGGTGAGCTGACCAGGGTGCTCCCCTACCTGCCCCTTACTCTGGTCCAGGCTCCGTGCACATGGCCCCAGCACTGGCCGCCTTCTGGGTCTGGGGCTTCTCAGCTGACAGTGTGTTTTGTGGGTCCAGGTGCATGTGCCAGGGCAGCCTTGCATCCCCGCCTGGCCCTGGAGACCAGGAGAAGCCCCAGTACTGTCGCAACACCTGCCTCAGTCTCCCTAGTTAGGGGCCAATTCCTGTCCCAGAATTCCCAAGCCTGCTGGCTGGGAGGAACCCTGAGCATCCACGCCAACACAGACACGGCCACGAGGAAGCTGCCTGCTCCTTTAACTCACAGCATCACACCAATCCCGAGACCCCCGTGGAGACCCCTGGGCCAGCCAGCCTGACACAGGCTTCTTCGGAAAGGCTGCTTCCAGCTGACCAGGTTGCAACAGCGCTGCCCATAGATACGTGTACATAAACACGGCCGGGCTCACTTCCAGCTGGACAGGCGGCCAGCTGCAGCAGTCCAGCCTAGCACCACCTCCTGGGCCTGGACCTGTACCGGGCGGGGCAGCCTGAGAGCACCCGGGCCACGGCTTGGGCCCGGCCAGCAGCAGGGCCCTGGCAGCCCGGGAGGCCACGAAGCCCTCCACAGGGGCCCGTGGCTGTCCACATCCCTCCAGAGGGCTGGGCCAGGAGTCCTGGTTCATGTGTGTCCTCAGTTGTCACCACAGGCCTGGGTCCCTTGGTGGCACCTGGTGGCAGGGCATCCGTGCCAGGGAGCTCCTGATCTAGTGCTTGGTGGCCCTGCTGCTGAGCTGGGGTGCTGCTGTGCTGGAGGCTGGCTGTGTCCCTGGGGCCAGGAGAGGAGGGTCAGTGCAATACCAGCATGCCACACCCCCATGCCCCTCAGCGCCAGCCCTGGGGGACAGCCCGTGTCTGAGGCCCAGGGCAGCAGGACATCAGCACGATCGCAACAGCCCCACGGGGCATTCTCTGACCCCTTACCTGTGCCCTGAGCTGGAGGCAAGGTGTCAGGGACCTGGTGGGGCCCACCTGCAGAGGACAAACAGCAGTCAGTGTTGGGAGCAGGGCGTGCGCCCACTCAGGCCTGCAGGGACCCCTCTCCTCCTGTCACTTTATGTGCCCCCCCATGAACTTCCAGGTAGGGGGCAGGGCTTTGGGGCGGGACAGAGTAGGGCCCAGGCCTTTAGAACACCCCGAGACCCCGCCCCCACTGGCTCAGCTTCAGAGCCACGCAGTCGAGGCTCCCCGCCGCCCCGCCCTGGCTGTGCTACCACATCTGACCACTGGGTGCCGCTGTGGGCAGCATAATGCGACCTCGCTCTGGCCAGCCTGCTGCAGCTCGCGCCCAAATCCCAGCTTGGCTCTTAAGGGTTTGCAAGCAGGTATGCCTTGAAGACTCAGAACAGCGCGCGCACGGTATCCAGCTCACACCGGACTGGCCTCCCAGCTAGGCCTCTGAGCTGCTCCTCCCCACTGTCCTGTCTGCTGCCTCCGGCCTGAGGAGCCGACCAGCGAAATCCCACGGGCCCCTGCGCTGGCTGGAGCGCAGAGGACCGCCCGCGTCGCAGGGCAGGTGGAGGGCTCGTCCCACAGAGCTCCAGGGCTCAGGCCACCTCCCAGGCTCTGTGTGGGCGCGGCAGGCACGGGCACGTCCGGAGCACACACTCTTAGCATACACACTGCACGCATGCGCGTGAGCCGGCTAGCGCACCCTGCGCCTGCAGGCGCCCTGCCCACCTGGGGGCTCCTGCTGGGATGTACAGCCTGGTTCGCACCCTTGGAGGAGAGGTGTGGACACTGGGTACCTGGCAGGGAGGCTGGGTTCTGGCTGGCCCAGCTCAGCCCACCCGTGGCGCTGGGGTGATGGGTGCGCCCTCGGCCAGGGTGGGGACCCTGACTGTCTTCCCCTCCCCAAGAGCCCTGACCTCAACTCACCTTCCTGGCATGTGGGCCCCATGTCGCCACCCACACAGTGGCACTGCCCGCTGACAGGGTCGCAGTCAGCTCCACCCCCACAGTCGCACTGCAGGGCACAGCCTGGCCCAAAGCGGTTTCCTCTGCACACTGCGGGTGAGAGGTTGACTGAGGCCTGGGTCGAGGCAGGAGCAGCCCCCATGTGGGCAGCCAGGGAGCTGAGTGCAGCCCTGCAGCCGCTGCCAGAGAAGGCCAGCCTGGGCATGTGCCTAGAGTCGCCACTGAAGGCTGCCTGGGTGGGCTTGACGGGCCTGGGAGCCACAGGGTCGGGAATGGCCGTCCTCCTGTGGGACTCCTTGCCCGTGGTGGGAGAGCGGACATTTGTCCTCTCACTGAGAGCATCTCCAGGATCAAAGTCCCCACAGTGCGCCTGGATCCCAGAGGGAATGGCCAGGGCAGAGGCCCTGGGGGCACAGCATTGGGCCAGTGGGCGTACGCAGTGTCCACCCCACAGGTGACATCTGTCACCAGTGGGGACAGCGCCTCCTGACGGGACGTCACACTCACTCTGGTCACATGTGGCTCCTGTGCGTCCTGGCGGGCAGAGGCAGTGGCCGCTGGTGGGGTCACAGGGCACCCCTTCACCACAGTCACAGCGCTGGCGGCAGCCCTCTCCAAAGGAGCCAGGCTCACACCCTGGCAAGGCAGTGGGCTCAGCACTCTCCTGTCCCTCACCAGACTGGCAGGGACCCGCGGGCTGGCGCAGAAAACTCACCCTCCTCGCAGAGCTGGCCCCGGAGGCCGGCAGGACACAGGCACTGGCCATGGACGGGGTCACAGGGGGCGCCGTGTCGACACTCACAGGCCCGCTTGCAGCCCACACCATGGAAGCCAGGGGGACAGGCTGGGGGAGGGAGACCTGGTTACAGCAGCCAACGGCAGCAGGCAGAGGACCCTCCAGTTTGCTCGGGGTGAGTGAAGGATGGTAATTCGGGGCCAAGAGAAACCTCTGTGCTGCCCCCACCCATCACGGCCCCCAGCATCCCGTGGGGACTCCTGGAAGAGCAGAGAGCACCCTATCAAGCACGGCCAGCCTTCTCGAGTTTTCCACACGACCCCATATAGGGCCCTCTGGCCCTGGGAAGTGGCCGTGGCAGTGGTGAGGCCCAGGACTCACGATGCTCGCAGGCCGGGCCATAGAAGCCGGGGCTGCAGTGGCAGGTGCCTGCTGTGGGCTCGCAGGTGCTGTTGTTGTGGCAGACGCATTCCAGGCGGCAGGCGACCCCATAGCGGCCCTGGGGACAGGCTGGGGGGCACAGGGAAGGGTGGCCTCCGCACCATGGGGTCCCAGCCCCCCCCGCACCCTGTGCACAGGGGACGCTCTGGCCACTCACCCTCCTCGCAGTGCGGCCCTGTCCAGCCCAGGCCGCAGGAGCAGCTGCCAGTGGCAGCGTGGCACAGGCCTCCGTTCTTGCAGGCACACCGCTGCCCACAGCCCTCACCGAACAGGCCCAGGGTGCAGCCTGCGGGCAGAGGACGGGCGATGCTCGGGCCACGGCCAGGCTGGACATCTTGGGGGTCATGGCCCACGAATGCCAATGCTGTACAGCAGATGCTCCCCAAGTATCCCAGAGCCCCTGACGCACGAGGCTGTGGCCTCCCAGGCCACACAGTGCCGGGTGGCCTGTGGACAGGTCAGGAGGCTTCCTACGGGGTGGTGCCCAGCCCGACCGAGCACACGTGGGGCACACGTCCAGGCTCAGAAGCAGTGTGACTGTCTGTGGATGTGGGGTGGCCCCGCGACCTGACACCCCCACCCGACCACCGGTGTCCTTGCTAGAGGTGGTACAAGGCCAGGCCGCAGCTGACTTTGGCCACACAGGCCCCCAGGGGCCCTGGTGTGCACATGGGTCCTCAGAGGGCTGTGCAGGGTCCAGGTAGGTCCAGTGGCACGAGCTGTAACCACCACTCCTACATGTACCTGCTTCCCTGCCGTGGCCTGTGCCTGGCTCCCTCTGCCTGCCTCCATCCACAAAGAAAAGAGCCACTCCCCCAGGTCATAGCTCATAGTCCCTGAAGCCCAGGGATGCAGACAGGTCCCCGGGCAGAGAGGCAGGGCGGGGCAGGGTGGGACAATCCCTCCACCCTGCGGGACAGTGCCATCCACACAGCCCAGAGCCACCTCTTAGCCCAGGGTCCCCTGGTAACCCATGGTGGCCACAGTGTGAATGTGCCACCCCAGAACAGCTGAGTGACATTGGCAAAGTGCCCCACCCACCCCCTGGCAGCCACTCACCGAGCTCACAGTGGACACCGGTCCTCCCAGGAGGGCAGGCACAAGTGCCAGTCACAGAGTCACAGGCTGCCCCTTGCCCACACCTGCACACGTGGGCACAGTTGGGGCCGAAGTGGCCCTGTGGACAGGCTGTGGACATGGGACAGGATGGGAGCAGATGGGGTCAAGGACCTGTGTCTGCCCGACAGGGTGGTGCTTCCAGCTCTAGCCCCTCCACCTGCACACCCTGTTGGGGTCCCAGCCTGCTCTGTGCAGACTCACTGCCGCCCCAAGGTCTTCAGGCCCACACAGGAGCCCCCACAGGGCTCAGGTGAACCTGAGGGACACAGGTCACCCGGGTCCCCAGGGCTTGGCCTCTCTACTTAGCTCAACCTGGAGGCAGGTCCAGTAAGGGGGTGTTGAAGCCACTCACGGAGGCTGCAGTCGGCTCCGAGGAAGCCAGCAGGACAGCGGCAGGCCCCTGTGGCCCCGTCGCAGGAGCCCCCATTGAAGCATTTGCACAGCTGCCCACAGCCCGGCCCGTAGCGGCCGGGGGGACATCCTGCAGGGAGAGGGGCCACTCTGCCAAGGGCAGGGCTGGAGACCACCCCCAGGACCCCAACATGTCCATGTCATGCTCCTTCCCCCACCCAGTGAGATCCTGGGCAGGGTGGCACTCACGCTGCCGGCAGCTGGGGCCGTGGTAGCCAGGGGCACACGTGCAGGCCCCTGTAGCTGGGTGGCAGACCCAGTTCCGGCCGGGACAGCGGCACAGCTGCCCACAGCCCTCTCCGAAGGTGCCCGGAGCACAGGCTAGAGCAGACAGGGGATCAGGGCTGGGCCAGTCTTGGGAGTAGGTGGCCCCCCACAAGTCTCCTAGTTTGCCTTCACACCTACCACGCTCGCAGCCAGGCCCGATGAGGCCACGTGGGCAGTGGCATGCCCCAGTGACATGGTGACACGAGGCCCCTGGTGGGCAGCGGCAGCGCTGGGCACAGGCGTCTCCGAACCAGCCACGCTGGCAGGCTGTGGGGACAGGACAAGGCCACGGCCATGCACGAGGGCACTGGAGGGACCAGGGACAGCACAGCCCCCATCTGCTGCAGGCAGGACCCACCCCTGCATGGGCAGCTGTCCTGGGCTGGCCCCTTGGGCTACGCTCACCATCCTCACACCGGAAGCCCCTCCACCCGGGGGGACAGAGGCAGGCTCCTGTGATGTGGTGGCATGTGGCTCTGCGCCGGCAGGTGCAGCGCTCCTCGCAGTGAGCCCCAAACGTGCCCTCAGGACAGGCTGCAGAAGGAACAAGAGGGAAGGAGGGCAGCGCCCCAGGGCCTCAGGCCCTGATTGGGGGGGCTGGACACGGGACTCGGGGGTCCAGGTCTCTGTCTGTCTCCCCCAAGGTCTGTGCCTGGCTGCCCGGACTGTCCAGAGAGGCTGGGTTTCCGAGAAGAGGGTGGCCAGCAGGGGCCCGTGCACCTGGAGCTGGAGACGCACCCGATGCTGCCTGTTGTGACTCTGCACAGGCTCAGGGCCGGCTGGGGGGGCCACACCTCAGGCCCACAGGCTGGGGCCTGTGCCGTCACGGGTGCCCCTGCTGACACAGGCTTCAGACCATGGTGTGGAAGACTGTGCAAGCCCTCTTTCCCAACACCCCGCAGCCGCCCCGCACCAGGCAGCGAGGGTGGCAGCACAGACCCTCCAGGAGCCTGCAGCTCAGGGAGCAGCCCAACCCCACCCGGCCACAGAGCTCCTCTGTGGGGATGGCCTGGTGCCTCACTCACGGCTCTGGCACTTGTCCCCCGTCCAGCCGGCCGGGCACAGGCAGTGCCCCACGCGCTGGTCACAGAGGCCCCCGTGGAGGCACCCGCAGCTCAGCTGGCAGCCGGCCCTGTGGTGTCCTGGGAGGCACTCTGTGGGCACAGGGTGGGGGTGAGCATCCGCCTCCTGGGGCAGGGCCCCGGTGACCCCACCACCTGGCAGCCCACCCTGACTACAGTGCCCACCGTCCTCGCAGGCGGGCCCGGTCCAGCCCTCCGGGCACATGCAGCGGCCGGTGACAGGGTCACAGCTCCCTCCGTTCTGGCACAGGCAGGAGTGTTGGCAATTTGGGCCATACTGGCCGGCAGGGCAGGCTGGGGGGAGGGAGCAGCCTGTGACATCTGACTGGCAGTATCCTGGGGGCCTGCAGCCCAGTACCCCACAAAGCTCAACACCAGCACTGGGGACCTTGCCAGGGCCGCTCCATGGTGACGGACCCCGGCCTACCCTGGACCTATCACCCCCAGAGGCCATGGCCCTTGGTCCTCGGTAGCTGCCTCCTCTAGAATTCCAGAACCTCCCACTTGCTGTGCAGCCCACGCTCACAGAGACCGCTGTGAGAGGGCCCAGTGAGAAGCAGGGCTTACCCTGTAGACAGGCAGGCCCCATCCAGCCGGGCGCACAGAGGCACTGCCCATGGACAGGGTCACAGGACGCTCCATCGGAGCAGGCACAGGCCTGGCTGCAGTTGAGCCCGTAGGTAAGGGCTGGGCAGGCTGTAAGGGAGGGGACGGTCAGAGGCTGAGGCACAAGGGCTCCGAGGAGCTGCAGTGGGCAGTGCCCGGCAGCTGGATCCCCCTCTCCCAGCCCCTGGTCTGGGCTGCCTTCTTGGAGAACTACACCAAGGGAAGCCCCTCCAGTTCCCATGGACCAAACTGCTCTGGGGACACCAGGACAGGACCACAAGTGCATCTCCCATGGAGGTTCCAGCCCCTCACGCACTCTGGGCACAGTGGGGACCCCAACGGCCAGCTGGGCAGATGCAGGAGCCGTTCACAGCATCGCAGGTGGCCCCGGCGGAGCAGTCACAGGTGTCACGGCAATCCACACCAAAGAAGCCGGCTGGGCAGGCTGCGGGCAGCGGCAGCCGTGAGGAGGGCTGGGCTGAGGACCCCGCCTGCTGCTGGGGGCCACCCTTGGCCCTCGCCCCACTTACCACGCTCACAGAAGCTGCCCCTCCAGCCGGGTGGGCAGGTGCAGGCCCCGCTGATGTGGTCACAGGCTCCCCCATGCTCGCACCGGCACCGAAGCCCACAGCTGGGCCCAAAGTAGCCCTGAGGACACTCTGAGACCCACCGCCCCCGTGCACCATCAGCCAGGGGCTGGGGTCTGACCAGGGCCTGAGGACAGGGAGCAGGGCCTGGCTCATGAAGAGACTGTCACTGGCCACATGCTCCATCTGGGAGCCTGGCAGGGCCCATACATTGTCAATGTTAGGAGCTGGGACGGCCCTGGGCCCACCCACAGCACCTTGGGGGGCACACAGTCCAAGGGCCCCCGGGCATAGAACAGGCAGTGCCTCTCCTGCCTGCCACCCGGCTGAGCACGCTCAGTGGGCACAAGAAGGCAGGTGCGTGTGCATGTGTGCAAGCACTAGGGACACAAGTGCACGTGAAGGCCGTGCGAACGTGCTCATGCACGTGCCCCCAGCTCGGCACTCCTTGTGCGGCACAGTCCAAGGCTTGGACTCACCCTGCTCGCACCGAGGGCCCGTGTAGCCAGCCTCACACAGGCACAGCCCGCTGACAGTGTCACAGCTCCCGTGGCCCGTGCTGCAGTTGCAGGGGTGGCTGCAGTCGGGCCCCCAGTGCCCACTGTCACAGGCTGTAACAGAGCCGGGGCAAAGTTGTGGAGTCCAGGTAGGGTGTGGGGCATCTCAGGGCAGAGCTGGGAAGACCCCTACCTCTTTGGCAGCGGAGTCCGGTCCACCCAGGGGCACAGCTGCAGCGCCCAGTGGCCGGGTTGCAGAGCCCCTCATTGGCACAAGTGCACCTCATTTGGCAGCCGGGCCCAAACCAGCCTGCTGGGCATGCTGCAGGGGCGGAGAGGGTGAGCGCAGTGGTCCGCATGGCCCATCCGCCCCGAGCCACAGGCGAGGCCACACTCACTGTCCTGGCAGCGGCTGCCCACGAAGCCAGGGAGGCACGTGCAGGTTCCGGTCTCGGGCTCACAGCGGCCGCCATGTTCACATGCAGGGCAGATCTCCTGGCAGCCCAGCCCCCAGTGGCCCTCGGGACAGTCTGGCCCCCCAAGAGCCAGTCAGCCTCCTCCGCTGGTAGGGGCGGGCACATCCCCAAATGTGTGCCTGGCACAGCACCAAACTCCTCTGTGCCCCAACCAGGAGGGGCCTGTGATTCCCATCAGGCTGCCCGGGGTCCTTCTGGGGCTCCGGGATGTCCACCCACAGGAGAAAAGCCCCAGCCGACAAGACAACTCAACAGAGTCTGCAGAGGCCCAGGAGGCACATGGGAAGCGGGGGAGGGGGGGGCAGCATGTGTCCAGCAGGACACCTCTCCTTGCTCAGGTTTGTTCTGGGGTGTGCCCTCAAAACTGTTGCAGGACGGCCTAGAATGCACAGGGCAGGGGCTCCCAGTGTGACCCAGGCTGCAGTACTTGAAGATGGGTCAAGGATGCAGTACCCAATGACAGCCCCGGGCACCCCCACCTGGAGTCTGGTGGCCAGGGGGAGGGGTGCAGGGTCCCAACACCTCTCACCTGCCCCACAGTCCTCCCCAGTCTTCCCTGCTGGGCATAGGCACTGCCCTGTGATCCAGTGGCAGGGGGCCCCCCCACAGGAGCAGGACCCTGAGCAGTTCATGCCGAACATCCCCGCTGGGCACTCTGCAGAGGAAGCAGGAGGGGCCTCAGCTGCAGCCTGAGGGGCTGTCCTGCCTGGAAGCCTCTCTCCAGGGCTCCTGGCGCCACGCCCTGGGCTCAGGCACTGCTCCAGCTCTACAAGGAGAGCTCCAAGTGGACTCGGGCAGGCCCTTGGGATGGCAGGGCCCAGGACACCGCTGGGGCACAGCTGTAGTGCCCAGCAGCTGGGTGGCAGTGCCTGTCATTGGCACAAGAGCACCTCACTTGGCTGGGACAGGCAGGGCGGGGCGCCAGCAGGCAGGGCAGCCTCTCCCTCAGGCCATCCAGCACCCTGGAGAGCTCCCTGCATTCCTAGGCTCCATCTGGTCCTCGCAAGGGCTTCTGTGGGTGAGGCCCCAACCAGGGGGTGCGAGGCCAGGCCCTCTGTGCTCCCCACCATCAAGAGCCTTCCAGAGACTCAGATGTGGGGGCTGGGAGAGATCTGCAACCAGCAGGGCAGGAGCTATGCCCGTTGCAGCAGAGCAGGGCCTGAGCCCGGGGTCTCCCTCTCCCCCAGCTCCCTGACAGCAGGGAGTGGCGGCCCGCAGCCTGGTGTCCTGGGCAGGTCTGGCCTGGTACCTGGGTCCCCAGCAGGGCCTCAGAAGGTGTGTGGGTGCTGAGCAGCCCCCGGGGCCCTGGGAGAGCCCACGTCACGCTGTCCACGCCCAAGCTGTCCTCAGGACCCAACCGGCTTCCAGACAAGGAAAGCGCCAGTCTAGCTTCACCGCACAGCTCCAGGTACCGTGAGAAAATGGGCTGAGCCCAGCATGAGGGCGGCCGAGGGGGAGGGGTGCCTGGCACTCACCCAGTCCTGGGTGCTCACTGAGGACTCAGACACCACACGTGCACACGGGCGCAGCTTGCAAGCATGCAGACACATGGTGCATGTGCAGCGGGACATCTACACAGCTTGGCCCAGGAAAGGGGCCTCAGGGGCCCTGACACCTGGGGTCAGCAGGGCAGCACTGGTTTCCAGACAGTGGGGAGCCCTCACTCTATGGAAGCACCTGTGTCATTTCCTGTGGCCCCCCTGGGGGCCCTGGAGGCCTTAAACTAAAATGGGAAAATGAAGGAAAAAGTGGAGGACTGAGGGCAGGGAAGGTGGGACAAGGGACACTGGGCACTGCTGAACATGGCCAGAGAGCACGTGGCCATAGGTATCCCCCAGGGCCAGCAGACACAGCCCAGGTTAGGTCCTGGCCCAGAACACTGGCACCGTTGGGCCACTGTAATGGGGGCAGCATAAGAAGGCTGGCTGGAGGGTGCTCAGGGCCTCCCTCTGCCCAGGCGGGGCAGTGCCAGGGACCTCTTCTCCTCGCTCCCCTGCATGGGTGAGCGGTGGAAGGGCTCACAGATCAACTGCTCACCAGGCCTGGTGGCCAACCTAGTCACACTGCAGGCCTTTGGTGCCCAACCATTACAGCAACGGCATAGGGGGCAGGAGCCACGCCCAGGTGGCCACGCAGTCACCGCATCACATACCCCTGCAAAGGGCCCACGTGCACCCTGCTGTCCCCTCTCTGGGCTGAGTGGCTGAGGCAGGAGGTTTAAGGGTCTCCACTCCACAGGTCCACTCAGCCATCAGGAACGCCCCAGACTGCGTGCGTTATTAGGGCTGCCACCCTTCCTCAGGGGGTGGCAGTCACAGCACCCCCACTGTCTTTTCTGGCTCTCCTGGTGTGGGTCACTGAGGCAGCCAGGACTCCTGGGGACTCCCGAGGGCTGATAGTATGGGTCCAAGTCCCACATGGCTCCTCTGTACTTGGCCCCCAACACGGGCACTCCTGGGACACACCCTGGGTGTGGAATGCCCAGGTGCAGCTCCTCACCTTGGCCACAGTCCTGTCCCTGGTAGCCAGGGGGACACTGCTGCCAACACTGGCCACTCACGGGGTCGCAGGCCACGCCCGGGGGACAGGTGCATGCTTGCTGGCACCCAGGCCCAAAGAAGCCCGGCTCACACTCTGCAGAGTGACAGGGGCATTGAGGGCCAGCTGGGCACTGCGGCCCTGCCGCCTCCCAACACAGGCACATACCTGCTTGGCACCGCTTGCCCCGAAAGCCAGCCTTGCACAGGCAGCTGCCATCCCTCCGGTCGCAGGCCTGAGTGTGGGGCTGCTTACAGGTGCACTCCTCGGAGCAGCCCGGCCCAAAGGCCCAGGGCGGGCAGGCTGCACCCAGAGCCGTGAGTGACAGCCACCCGCAGGCCCCCCACGCACCCCACCCCATGAGGTGGGGCTGCAGTGATGCCCCCTAAGCGCATGCCACTCCTGGGCAGGCTCTGGGCAACAGGGCACCCTGATGTGTTCCCAGGAGCCGACCCTGCCTCACACCACTTCCCAGTGAGGAAGTCTGAGTCCCTCCCAAGCCTCTTCTGCTGGTAGGAGAAGCCGGCTTTGTCTGCTTCCTCTGCCGTTTGTTCCCTTCCCCACGGGACTGTGGCCCTGGCCACGGCTGCCCTGGCCATGGGCCCTAAGCTGCTTCCTGCTTCCACCCTGCTGCCTACCCTCCTCCCACTCAGGGCTGGGTATGCCAGGTGCCCCAGAAGCCGACACCACAGCTGCAGGGACCATGTGGCTTGGGCTCCACAGCCAGGGATGGTGGCTGGATCCCAGGTCCCACTGCAGGAGTGAGGCCAAGGGGCCCCAGCATGGCCAGGACGCCTCCCACAGTCAGTCTGGACACTGAAGGGCAGCAGGACTCACCAAGGTGGCAGAAGCGGCCGTAGAGCCCAGGATCGCAGAGGCATGCCCCATAGAGGCGGTGACAGCGGCCCCGGTTGGCACAGTGGCACTTCTTGCGACAGTGTTTGCCATAGAAGCCCTTGGGGCAACCTGGGGGAGGTGCTCTGTGAGACCAACCCCGTGGGGCCATCTGAGCCTCCTGGATGAGCCCACAGGCCCGGCTGGCTTCAGGAACCCTGGCAGGGGCTGGGTACACACTGGAGAGGGGCATGGGGCTCTCGTGCAGGGCTGCCCGCCCCTCATCCACCTTGGGGCACCTGGCTTTGGTCCCAAGTGGTTGCTGAGCTTGACTTTCCCACCTCAAAGCAGGAGGGCCCCAGGGCCCCAGATGGCCAGGCGCTGGCTGAGTCTCACAGCCCAGAGTGGCGCCATCCTCCCCCCAAGCGTCCCCACCCTGCTTGCAGGGCTGGAGCAGGGACCCCAAAGCTCGGCCCTGTCCCCATTGCCAGCTCTCCAGGCAGGGACATCCTGTGTGGCCCAGTAGATCCCAAGTCACGTCAGACAAAAGGCAGGAGGTGAAACAGCAAGGGCCGCAGCGAGACCCGGCCACATGCAGCCACAGGCAGAGGCGGAGCTACGCTGCCATCCGCCAGGGATGCCCGGTTCCTGGAGTCAGCTTCCTGGGAATTCTGGTGGGCCCCTGGTCCCCGCCTCCTGAGACCCGTCCATGGGAGCCAGAGCATCCACATGCAGCCACTTTACTGTCTGACACCCCTCGTGCACACAGCCTGCCACACCTGCAGCTCTGCCAGGCAGGTGGGAAGAGATGCAGGCGGTCCCAGGGACACGGCCGGGGGAGCTGGGCAGCCCATGCTGCCCGAGGTCGTGCCACCCCAGGGCAGCTCGCACGGCCACCCTAGGGCCTTGGAGCCGGTTCCAGTCACTGCACCCTCCTCCTCTCACTCGTGCGCTGGCCAGTCTCCAGCCAAAGGGGCCAAACCGTTACCAACGCGTCTCCACCTTCTATAGTTAAGTCCCGGAAAACAACGGGAGATCAATCCTGGTCCCACTAAGGGCCTCTCCTGCTCCCACATGAGTGGGCACTGAGGACTGCTCCCTGGGGTGACTCCTTCTGTGCCACACCCACCGTCCTCACAGTGGGCTCCGCTGACGCCGGGAGGACAGCGGCAGGCCCCAGTCACCAGATCACAGGTCCCGCCATTCTGGCAGCTGCAGGGGGAGCTGCAGTTCTTCCCAAAGGTGTCTGGAGGACAAGCTGCAGGAGGGACAGGGGTCAACCAGGGTCACCAGCCAGCAGGAGACCACTCAGAGCAATGAACAATGGGATACCTATGCCCTCTGACCCGGGTCATGCTCTTGGCAGACAGCACTAATCAACTGCTGCATCCTCCCCTCTGCCTTCAAGCAGGGGGTCCGCTGCTCCCCCCAGCTGCCCCCTCAGCAGTTACGGCACCCCAATTCTCCAGCCCTTACAGGTGCCCCTTGTCTGAGATGCCTGCTTGCTGCTGGACCCCTGCCTCAGATTGACCTCAGCCAACCTCCTGCCCAGAGACCTCACCAACCAGAATCGTGGCCAGCGCAGATAGGCAGCCAGAGGGAAGCTACCCCTTGTTGGTGTGGGGGCCACACTGACCCGGCTGCAGACAAACCCCAGGACTCAGGCCTCACCCAGAGCCCCACAGGTGCCCCTAGGGTCCCACCCCACCGAGGGGCCTCACTCTCATTGCAGATGAGCCCGGCCCAGCCTTCGGGGCAGTCACAGCCGTCTAGGCCTGGCAAGCAGGTCCCACCGTTCCTGCAGTCATCGCAGGTCAAGCTGCAGTCAGGGCCAAAGGAGTTTTCCAGGCACACTGAGGGCAGACAGGGAGAGGCCTCAGAACAGACCCCAGCCGCAAGCCTTGGGGCCAGGGACAAGGACACCAGGGACAGCTTCAGCCCATGACGCCCCAGGAGGGCAGCAGTGGGATGGGACCCGGACGCTGAGGCCAGGAAGAGCCCCAGCCCTGGAGTGGGGCCCGAGCCAGCCCCGGATGTGCTTGCTGGGAGTGGCTCAGCACCTCTGGGCCACACAGGGCTCTTCCTGGTGCCCAAGGGCAGAGGCCTGGGCCAGGCCCACTGCTCACCGAACTTCTCTGCGAGCGTGAGTTCTCCCCGCAGCTCCGCCTCCTCCTCCTCCTCGACCCCAGAGTCGTCCTGGAAGAGCCGCAGCAGCTCGTCCCGCAGCACCGCGACGTGGGGCAGAGGCCGCTCGAAGGGCAGCTGGCTGTCCATGTCCACTGCGGGCGCCTCCAGAGCTGTGGGGGGACACAGAGGCCCTCAGCCAGGCTCCCGCTCTCCCAGGGACAAGGAGGCTGTGGCCTTTCTCTCCCTGGGTCAGGCAGAAGCCGGGCCCCTGCAGAACACTTCGCCCTGTGGACGGCTGTATGCCCTGTCCTACCCTGCCCCTGACTGCCCCCCCCCCAGCACAGGGCAGGGCCCGGAGGCTTAGGGGAGTGGCAGCGCAGGCACAGGTGCCCAGGGAGGGGCCTCACGGGTGCAGCCCCTGCGGTCCTCGTCCAGTCGGTAGCCAGCCTCACAGGAGCACTGGAAGGAGCCAGCGAGGTTGGTGCAGCGGTGCTCACAGCCGCTGCGGCCGGAGGTGCACTCGTCCACGTCTGCAGGCAAGCAGGGCTGCAGGGTCAGAGGCAGAGCCCCAGTGCCCAGCTCCCTGGCGGGCAGAGTGCATGGCTCGGGGGCAGGGGCCAGCAGTGACCACACTGCCCCAGCTACAGTGCCCCCCTTCCTCCCACCGAGGCAGTGACAGCAGGCAGCTGCCCGGGCTGGGAGCACTGCTTGGGGTGGCAGTGGCCCCCGCCTAGAGTGCGGTGGTGGCCAAGGCCAGAGGGGAGTGTGGAGCCTGCTGTACTGGCAGCTGCACAGAGGCAGGCTGAGGCCAGGCGGCCAGGGACTACGGGCTCCCCCATGTCCTTCCCAGCCCCCAGCTGCTCTCCACAGACTGACACTCACCCTCACAGCCACAGCCGTCTGTGCTGAGCTGGTAGCCGGCATAGCAGCCGCACTCGTACCCGCCCGGGGTGTTGGCACACACCTGCTGGCAGCACGGGGCGTCGGCACAGTCGTCCACATCTGTAGGGCACACGCAGGGCGCTTGGTGCCTGGTGCCCACGATGCCCCTAGTCCCCACCTTGCATTCCCAGGGGCCCTGGCACAGCCCAAGAGCACAGACGGGGCCAAAGGGATGCAGGGCGGCCGCACCCTCGGGGCACAGCAGGGAAGCCCAGGCTCGCACCCACACAGGTCCTCCGGTCCTCGTCCAGCTCGTAGCCGCGGGGACAGGTGCACAGGGGCCCGCCGCTGCTGTGCCTGCAGCCATGGGAGCAGCCGCCGTTGCCCACCTCACAGCTGTTTACGATCTCCATCTCGATGCCTGGGAGAGAGGGGGCGTCTGGGAGGGGTGGCGGGGTCTGGAGCCCCCTTCCTACCCCTGGCCCATGCTCAGGGCTGCCCCCGGGGGACCCAGACGCCTGGCTGAGGAAGCCGGTGCAGTCCCGGGGAGCCGTCACCCGCTGCCGGCCACCCACTCACGGTAGCACTGCCGGCCATCGGCGCCCAGCTCGTAGCCCGCATGGCACGCACACGTGAAGGACCCTTGCGTGTTGAGGCAGCCATGGGCGCACTGGGCCAGGCCTGCAGCACACTCGTCCACGTCTGGAGACAGAAAGGCTCAGGTCAGAGGGCCAGGAGGAGCCTCCCACTGTCGACCAAAGGAGGCACCCGAGGCTGTGTGGCTTGGCACGGCCAGTCCTAACAGTGGCTGTGCCCCAGCCCAACAGGTCTTCAGGATGAAGGTGACCTGCACGGGGTCTCAGGCCACCTTGGAGTACCAGTTTTCACAGGCAATGATGCCCTGGTGCTGTGTGGAACGCACCTGCTGCCACACCCTGCAGCCGCCCTGGCACCTCAGGACACTTTGGACACTGATCACCGAAAGTCCTCAGGCCCAGGACTCTGCCCCACCCCGAGGCTGCTCATCCCAGCCCTGCAGGGGCAGTGGGGGCAGCCAGGAGCCCGCGGTGCGGTTAAGTACAGACGTCTCAGGGCCACATGGCGGGTGATGGCAGCAGGACAGAGGAGGTGCAGGACAGCAGGACACAGTGCCCAGCTATGCGCCAGCACAGAGCAGCATTTGGCAAATTCCCCTGAGAGGCAGGCTGGGACCACACCTTCCCTGGCTCTGCGCTCCTGGAGGAGCAGCTTCTAAAGTAAGGGCAAAGCCCAAGCTGCCCCTCATGCCCGCAGAAAAGAATCCTGGCTGGACAGCATCTGGGGGCCACCCACCTCCACCAGCCACCAGCCCCTGTATGTCCTGGGTGGGGAACAGGCGGCCTGAGTCCCACAGACGCAGGGTGGAGGAAAGGGGTTGGCTTCCCACCTTCACAGGCCTTGCGGTCCGTAGCCAACTGGAAGCCTGTGTGACATCTGCACTGGACCAGGCCCTGGAGCTCCTGGCACGTGTGCATGCAGCCGCCATTGTCCTCTGCACAGGGACTTCTCCCTGTGGCCCAGGTCCGGGAATGGAGGCAAAGGAAGAGATCAGGGTGAGCGGGGAGGGGAGATCCAGGCAGACCTGGCATGCTTGCCCTGGTGTCTTGGGAGGCCCTGCCCAGTGTCTCCTCCCTTCCTGTCCAGCTTGGTGGGGTCTCCTGCCCAGATGTGGGAAGCTCCAGGGACACTGAAGGTACCCACAGCCAGAGGACAGAACCGGGGTCCCCAGTGAGGACCTACCAAGGCACAGGGAGCCTGTGCCCAAATGCCCTGCTAGAGCGGGGTCTCTGCAGAAAGGTGGCTGTGACCCCAGCCCCAAGACCTCAGCCCTGTGACCCTAGCCTGTGACCATCCATCTCTATGACCCAGGCCATCCCAGCCCCAGGACTGGCTTTGGACCCCACACACACGCTCGCACCTGCCCCATCAGGCGGAGGTAGGCAGGAGGAAGCACGTCCAGCCTGGCCGACCCATGCCCACTCCCGGGAGTCCAATCCCGCAGAGTCCCTCCTCACTGCAGGCAGCACTGAGGCCCTGACCAACGGCCAGTGGGGTCTGGGTGCTGCCTATGCCCAAGGCGTCTGGGGCCCCTGTGGAACTGAGGCTGCGCCCCCATCCTGAGCTCCCTAACCTCAGGCTGTGCAACCCTGGAGCAGCCCAGCCCAAAGTCAGGCCCAGCACCCAGGCCCATCTGTGTGGGGCCCAGGCCCAGGCCCAGCCCCAGCCTGTCTGAGCCCAAGTGGTGGCACTCACGGACACAGCGCCTGCCGTCCTCCTGGAGCTGGAAGCCGGGGTGGCACTGGCAGCGGTGCCGCATGGTTGTGAGCTGCACACACTGGTGCTGGCAGCCACCATTGCCCAGGGCGCATGAATTGACAGCTGGGACACAGAGAGGAGCCCGTCAGCCACCTCCCCACCCCCCATTCCTGGTAGGGGGCGGGGACCCTGAAGGCCTAGCAAGGTTTTCTCAGCCACTCACAGGTCCCCAGAATGGCGGTCATTGCTCTGAGCCTTCTAGGCCCAGGACAAGAGGGCAGGACACAGAGACACTGGGGACTGTCCCACCCTGGCAGAAGTCCAGCACCCCAGGCCACTACTCAAAGCACAGGGTGATGGAAAATAAATAAATAAATTTTTAAAAAAGCACAGGGCTCTGAGAAGCCCAAAAGAGAGTTTGGCACCTGAGTGCCTATCCCACCAGGCTGGTCCCCAGACCACAGCAGAAGGAGACGGCCACTGTGGCCTTTAGGAATGGCCACCGGCTCCTGGTAGCTTGCCCCCACCACAGGCTGCCGTGCCTTCCACCCGAGCACAGTGCCACACCCACAGGAGGCCAGGGCAGACGACACTGGCCAGGCCTCGAGCCACAGCCAGCCTCTCACCCCTCATGCTCTGACCTGGCCAGGCACAGCTCTGTCAGGGCAGGCAAGCCCCACAGGGCTCACGTGTATCCCATGGACGGGACTGCCCTCGGCCAGCCCAGGGAGGAGGGAGGCGCTGGGCTGAGCTAGGTGCCAGGCTGGGCCCTTTGCCTCCTCGAAGACGCAGCCAGAACTCAGCACAGCTTTGGTTAGGATCAAGTCTCCGGCCACAGACTCATGCTTGGGGGAGAGCTGGCCCGAGCGCATGGGGAAGCCACAGAAATGCACTGCCGTCGTCCTGCCCAGGGAGCCGAGGCCGGCTGCCCACGGGCCTGTGCCAGGGTGAACCTGAGCCCCGTTATCTAAGCCCTGGGGCTTCGAGGACCCAGCTTCACCCCAGATGCTGCCCGGGGAGGGGACGCTGCCATCCTGGGGGCAGGGGAGGGGCGTGCGGTCTGGCATGCAGGATGGGCGCACATCAGAGCAGCAGGGGCTCTGAGACCGAGGTCCTGGCAGGGAGGCCCACGCGAGCCGGCAGTGAGGCTCCCGCGGAGCACAGCCCCCCAGGGAGAACCTGCGCAGGGTCCCCATCCCAGGGCAGAGCCAGCCCGGGGCAGGCGGTGACTTCTGTGTCTGGCTACCCACATTGGCATGTGCAACTGAGCAGAGTCACAGGGACCCCAGGCCACCCGAGCAGGCTCTGCTCAGCCACACACACACACACACACACACGCACACACACACACACATGCACACACACGCATTACATGCATGCACACAAATGTGCACACAAGGCATACACACACATACGCACATGAGGCATACATATGCACGCATGCACACACACGAGGCATACATACATGCATACACATACACACGCACACACACACATGCACGCACACACATGCATGCACACACACGCATTGCATGCACACAAATGTGTACACAAGGCATACACATGCACACACGCACATGAGGCATACATATGCACGCATGCACACACATGAGGCATACATACACACGTACACACACACACACACACACACACACATGCAACCAGAGGCTCCAGCACGAAGCCTGAGCCGACCCCACATTCCTGGGGCTGTGTTTATGTGCGCTCACCACACCAACTGCATCCCTGCTCGGGACGCATAATAGGAAGCAGAAGCCCTTTCTGGCAGGGCCAGGCAGGCAGAGGGGCGCCGAGCCCAGGAAGGGGCAGGAGAGCAGCTGGACAGGCGTCGGGGCTACAGCAGGGCTGCAAGGAAGGGGCTGCACCCTGGTGCCCCAGGGAGGAGCCCACGGGCCGGCGCGGGGAGCCAGGTGACCCGTATCCTCATCCTCCCCCCGGGGCTGGGACACCCAGATGCTCCCAAGCTGTGTGTCCTGCTCGGATTCCGGGAAAGCTGAGCAAGGCAGATTCTCCTGGCGCAGGCCAGGCAGCTCCAGGAAGGGCCGGCCTCCCGCGGACTGTGCTGGGGCTGGGGCTGCTATTTCTAGGCCCCTTGGTCACAGAGACCCAGCCGAGGGACACCTGTCCCTGGACTGGCCCAACCACAGCCAAAGATTCTGCTGCTCACTGGGATAAAGCTCAGTGCTTCATGGACGCAAACCAAGTGCTTCCACCAGAAGGGAGGAACTCAGGTGCCAGAAGGCCGTCCCTGCCTGCCTTCCTGCAGATGCCGAGCGCTACAAAGTGGCTGCATGGCAGGCCCCAATTTCTCTTCCACTTCTAGTGTTTTCTTCAAGCAAAACCCCGACGCGCTAGGCATCTGCTGGCTACCGCGGGCAGTCCTGCCGGAGTGTGCCTCCTGGCCCAAGGTTTCTCTGCTGGGATCTAGCTTAAGTCTCTGCCCATTTCCTAATCAGAATAAAGTGCCTGATGCCTCCCAGAGTTAGAAGCTGGATGCCTGTGTCCCCCAAAAGTCGTATGTTGCAGCTGTAACCCCCCAACAGGCCCTCCTCGAAGACAGGGTCTTCATAAGGGTGGCAGTGTGAGATGAGGGCCTCACGAGGAGCTGGGCTGGCCTAGGACAGTGGTCCAGGACGTGCAGCCTTCTCAGAAGTGAAGGACATCAGTCTCAGTGTTTGTCACGGCTGTCCAAGCACATCCAAGTTCTAGTCTGCAGATGCCAAAGCGCAGGCCACCTCCAGACCGAAGCCTGCAGGTCCGAGGACCGCAGAAGACCCCACTGTTCCCAACCCACAAGGCACACACTCTTGAGGGGAAGCGGGCTTGAGGAGAAGGTGCCACATGTTCCAGAAGACAGGTTTCCCACGGGGCCACAGGCTGGCCACCAGTTCCCCTGGCCCTGTGCTCTTGGAGGGTAGCATTCATGGCAGAGGACACTGTGGGACAAGCAGACCAGAGCCTGGGCACGGTTTGGAAACTGAGCTGAGGCCCCAGCGCTGGGGGTGACAGGGTCGCCCATCTGGCCCGGATGCGCAGTAAGAAGCAGCCACACCTCTCACGCCCAGCTCCCTCTGCTGGGCCGTGGACACAGGTGGGGCTGGGGCCAGCCTGAGGGCGATCTGTCCCCCGTGTGTCCTGAGGTTTCATAATCACTACCCTCACTGGTGCGGTTTCTGGGCTCCAGGAACTTACACCACCATGGCCAGTGGGCACCACGGTGCTTCTCTCCAGGAACCTGCCGCTGGGCCAGGACGGCAGCACAGCAGTGCTGGCTCCCCACCACTCCTGCCCTGGGCATCCTGTGCCCTGCCTGCCTGTGCATGGCCCCACTCAGATAGACTCTAGTCTGTGCCAGGCAAAAGCAGGCCCTGCAGCACAGCCTGGGTGGCTAAGGCATCGGGCACTGAGGGAAATGCCCCCATGCCCTCCCTGGACTAGCCGTGCTGCCCACTGCTATCCTGTGTCGCTTCTCCTGGGGGACTGTCCGGCCAGGCTATGGTTCAGACTAACCAGCCATGGCAACAGATGAGTCCCTAGGGTACTATGCTAGAGGTGCCCGCTCAGCCTCAGGGCACTCCAGGCGCCTGGGAACCAGACAGGGCACTCGGGGACAGGGCTTGCACCCTATACCTGGGGCATCTTCCTGTGGCTGAGCTTCAGCTCCAGCCTGGCCCTGCGCCAAGCCCTGCCCCTTCTGCTCCACCCTGGCCTCACCACTGGCCTAATCCCCATGCCCTCCCTCCCGCCCAGCTTGACTGCTTGGCCTCCCTAGGCCACTGCACCCAGCCCAGGGGCCCATGGAGGTCACACAGGGGAGGGGGGGCTCAACAGTCTCTCCCAAGGACTCCACTCCTGGCTCCTCCGGGCTGGGCAGGCTGCCCCGACAACAGCAGCTGTGCTGGCTCTGAGGGAACCGGGATGCTGGCAGAGCCCATCTGCGGGCTCGCAGGGATGAGTTCTGCAGATGAGCCTGGCAGGCTGCACACTTCAGATGCCTGTGGCTTGGGCCCCAGCCCATGGTACTGCCAGCAGCAGCCTCCAGGGATGGAGCAGCCTCTTCCCTGAGGAGCAGAGGGTGCAGGCAGAAGGATCTGGGCAGCCTAGCTGCCTGAGAGGAGGACCCAGGCCCAGGGAGGGAGGGGCTGCCCAGGGACCACACACACATGCACACACATGCACGCTCACACCTGCGCACGTGCACACACACAGATGCACACGGCAGAGTGGGGTGGGCACAGGGCCGGGCTGGCTCCCTCCAGTCTGTTCTAGGGCCCATCTGACTCTGGGTGAGGGCGCAGGCAGAAGCAGCCAGACTACCAGGGACACCTTGACAGCAGAATCTGCCCCGGTGTCCCTCCTGGCTATGGCAGGTGGGAGGCTGAGAGGACCAATGGCCAGGGGCTGCCCAGCCCAAAAGCGAAAGCCACCTGGGGCCCCCAGCCCCAGCCCAGGGGACATGAGAAAGTGGCATGTCTGAGTCAGAGTCCCAGGGTCAGATAGGCCAACCTCAGGCAGGGGATGGGGGGATGTCAGCCGAGGGACGCCACTCCCAGCAGGGAAGACCCCTCTCATGTTAAGTGGCTGGTGCTCTGCACGATGTCACAGAAACCAGCAGTGACATCCAGAGATCACAGCCAAGCACGGCCTGGGCGGCCCCTCTCTCCACAGTGGAGCAAGAAGTAGCTGGCTGCACCAGAGCCTGAGCCTGCCCCAGACCTTGCCTGGGACCCTCTCCCACTGCAGGGGTGGGGGACCCCAGGAGAGTACCCTGGCAACGCAGCAGCCCAGGATGCTGGCACCTGGGGCGGCAGCGAGGGCTGGAGGACAAGGCCCTCACGGCCCCCAGGCCAACGGCAAAGTTCCTCTTGTAAATTCCCATTTTTAAGAATGGAAACGGAAACCTTTCTGAGCTCTATTCCATAGGAGTGTTTGGAAGGGAGGAATGTGGGGAGCTTGAGATTTCCTGTGCTGCCTGCCTGCCTCGGAGATGACTCCAAGGGTGTTTCAAGGCCCCCCTCGAGTGTCTCATGACCCCCTCAAGCTGCCTCCTCTGGGGCCTCCCAGGCCCCTCTGCCCAGCCCCCAGGAGCTCCTGCCTGACTAGAGAACCCGGTCCCACCCTCCCAGTGCCTTTTCCACCCTTGGCCTCCACTGCTGGTGCAACCAAGACATCAGGGCCCAGGCTGGGGTGCACCCCTGTCTGCCAGCAAAGCCCCAGGGGAGCAGGCCCTGCCAGGAGCCCAGCAGGCAGGCAGCTAGGAAGGGGCCCTGCGGCAGCTGAGCTCCAGCTGCATCTGCCCTGCAGCTGGCAGTGAGCAGAGGGCGCAGCCCCCTAACTCTTCCCATACACATCTTCGCAGGCCCTCCCACCCTGGGCCAAGCTGAAGGTGCCCCTGAGAACCACACAGGGCAGCCTGGCATCCTGGGGCACGGGGAGGGAAGATGTGGAGGGGCAGCGATCCACGCTCCCATGAGCAGGACGTGCTAGGGTTACCCTGGCCACCAAGGCCCTCAAGGGTCCAGTGGCCCGGCACGGCCCACACAGCTCAGACAAACTGCAAAGGAGTCCTCACCCTGGCATTCAGCAGGCACGCCCCCAGGCCAGGCCAGGGGTAGCTTGACCACCCACACCTGGTCAGCCTCTTGGGGCCACTGTAGCCAGGGCTGAGTCCTTTGGCAAGAAGAAGGGGCTTGGGCAAGGGGCGACACCCCCAGAACACCACAGAAGCCCAGAGAACCCCGGGAAGGAATTTGGGGGTACTGGCCAGGCTGACCTGAGAACAAAGCGAGTGGGCACGACCAGCTTCCCTGGCTTCCCTGGGCCTCAGTTGTGGGCCTGAGTCGCCACGCAGTGTCTGCCAGAGAGGGTGGCTGCCACCCCTGGGGAGGCCAGCGTGTGTGTATTCCAGCATTCCTGAGCAGCAGGGTGGATGGGACTGGCCTACAACCTCAGCAGAGGGCAGCTGAGAGTTGCAGTCGACGGAGAGAAGAGGGACACAGAGGCCACTACTCTGCATCCAGCCAGGTCCAGTGGGTGCCAGCTGGGCCGTCTGCTGGGAGAGCCAGGAAGTGGACCCAAGAAGGCCATGGAAGCCCACAGAGAGCACCGATCAAACAGCCGCAGAGATCGCAGCACCTGGGAGAGAGCTAGCCCAAGAGGCCACACCCAGGAGCCCCAGTTTGGGATCCTACAAAGACCCTAAAGAAGCAGATGCCACCAATCTAGGCTTCCAGGGCCCAAGGGCACAGAACCCTAGAAGGGCTGCTCCAGGATGGCCGTGTGCATGGGCTGTCACCAGGGCAGCCTGAGGTATCCCTGGGCTGCCGCAGCCCCACCACTGGCCAGCCCCGCCCTCTACCCCAGTCGCCTGGCCCTCTTGGCCCTTGGCCCTTCCAGACGCATCTATCTACTAAGATGCCTCACTAGAGCATCACCACAGCGCAGGTGGGTGCCCTGGCTTAGCAGGGGGCATGGCCCAGCTCTGGGCCCAGCGAGGGCCAGCAGAACCCCCTACCTAGCCCCCAGGCTGACCTTCCTCTTACAGCAGCTGAAGCAACCACAGCGCCCCATGCCCAGAACCCTTAGAAGTCCCAGCGGGCTGCCAGCTGGGCCACGCAGACCCCTCTGTCCTGAGCACGCACACACGGCATTCCCCGCCAATTCCTCATCTGCTTCTGCTTCCCACCCGGGCTGCCTGGCTCCCAGCCGGGAAGACACCGGGGCAGCGGTGGGGTGGGCTGCAGGCCATGCAGCCCAGGCCTGGGAGGGAGGCTGTGCAGAGCTGCCAGAGCCCATGCTGGACTCTCAGGCATAAAAAAGGGGTGTCCCACCCAGACCCCCAGAGAACAACTCCACATCCCTCTCAGAGATGGAGGGATAGGTCTGTCCTGCCCCCAGGGCACCCACCCCACGGCAGAACCCCAGCCAGCCGGCCCCTACCCTACTGAGCCCGTCCCCACGGGAGAGGAACCAAGCCCTTCTCTATGACACTGTGGGCTGGAGCAGCCCAGCTCCACAGGCCAAGAACGGCCACACATTGCCTGCCTGTCCAGCTGGTCCCTGCTGACAGACTCTGTAGACGCTGCCCAGCAAGAGTGCGTGTGGCCTGGGGCAGTGGGACCCGGAGACAACCCTTCTATCGCAGCTGCCTTACTCCCCAGGAAGGAGCCTAGGCCACTGAGGCTGCCGGGTTCACGGCCGAGCCAGCCCTACGGCCACAGCAGAAGGCCCAGCACACCAGGAGGGGCCCCAGGGGCACTCACCCAGGCAGGTCCTGCCGTCTGAGTGGAGCCGGAAGCCAGGCTTGCACACGCAGAAGTGGGAGCCGAGCGTGTTCACACACCGGTGCTGACAGCCACCATTGTGCGCCCGGCACTCGTCCACATCTGTGAAGCGTCACAAGGTTACAGACGGGCCAGGCCGAGATCTCTCAGATCCACAACTTTCTTCCCGGAAAAACGGTGGGCAGAGGTGCTGCCCTTCCCTGGGCTGGTGCTCGCTGGAGAGAGACCCGGCCCCAGCGCCTCAGAGCTGAGCGTGAGCATGGGCCAGCTGGAGCCCAAATCCATACCGCATTAGCAGGGCCACACCAGCCTTTCCACCAGGGCCCACTGGTCCAGAAAGCACAAGTGGCCCAAGCTGGGGGAGAACTACAGGGGGTACTGATGGTACTCTGGTTCTGTTGGCCCCGGATATACACCCATTCCTGTGGAAGTAGCGTCCAGCAGACAAAATAAGGATAGAGACAAGGCCATCCTGGGAACAGGTCCCCAAGTCCTAGCATGGAGAAGAGATGCACAGAGAAAGTCTCATGAAGGGGCAGAAATGGGGCCAGGTGGCCGGGTAAGGACAGCTGGGAGCCACCGGAAGGAATAGGCAGGAAGAGCCCTGCCCACACCTAACTTGAAGATCTGGCCTCCAAGGTGAGAAGAGACCTCTGCTTTTTAGGCCCCCGGCTCCCAGCATTCTCTAGCTGCGTGAGAACACTCAGCTGGGGTGGGCTGAGACCTTAGTGCTGGGCTCCCTGTGCAGGGCAGGGTGGGCAGCGTAGCCCTTGACCTCAGGGGACCCAGCCCCACGGACCCTCGCAGAGCACCAACAGAGGCTGCCTCCCGCACAGCTGGACTCAGAATGGGGGTCTGCACAAGAATCTGAGCAAAGAACAGCAGGGAGCAAGGGGCCAACAGGCTGGGGAGAGAGGGCAGGTGGGCCTGACGTCCGCAGGGGGCGCTGACTGGCAGGGTCTCGGCTGCCCACAGATGACCAGGCAGCCTGAGGCTGCGGGCTCCTGGCAGGACCCGACACCCCAGCACTGGAGCAGCCCCACAGCACAGATGGCCAAGCTCAGGGCAGAGGCCACCTGGAAGAGACAGGAAGGGAGCCGGAGGCTTGAGAAAGACCCTCCTCTGGGGCTGCAGCCTAGGGCAGACCCACAGCCACCTCCTGCGGGACACAGCAGGACATACAGGGTGCAAGGGACTCAGGGTGCTGGTGAGTCGGACCCAGCACAGAAGGCCACAGGCCTCCTCTGGCACCTGTGCACAGCTCCTGGTGGGCCCACTGCCAGTCAGATGCCCACCACAGCCGCTGCCCACCAGGGACAATTCCAGAACCCAAAATCCCAGCAGCACTCACACCCATAATCCCAGCAGCACTCACACCCATAATCCCAGCAGCACTCACACCCATAATCCCAGCAGCACTCACACCCATAATCCCAGCAGCACTCACACCCATAATCCCAGCCTTGGATCATGAATTAATCACAAACTGTAGAACTGCACCTCAGTGACTGCATGAGGCTTTGAGGGGACAGACACACACAAACCATGACAGCTGGAGTACCAGCTGTGCATGCTCAGCAGAGGGGCCAAGGGTGACAGGGACACAATGCCTAGGAGAGGCTCAGAGATGGGAGAGCAGAAGACTCCACTGCGTGGGCAAGGGTGGAAAAGGCTGCCTCAGAGCGCCAGACGCAGGCCTCGGGGCGCAGGCCAAGCGGCACCACGGTCTGCCAACCTTGCCTGGCAGGGTGCTGAGAGCGGTGAGAGCAGGAAACAGGCGCGAAGCTCATGCACGCTTCCCTGAGCACCGGGCTTGGCCAGGACACCCAGGATGGTGAGGCCAGGGACACAGGTTTCCCCTCTGGTCTCCACATGCTGGGGATTGCAGGAACAGGTGCCTGTGATACCAGCTCCGGGGGCGGCAGGGAGCTGAGCTCTCTAACTCTGCTCAGCCACATGGGTGTCCCTGCTCTCCGCTGTGACAGCCAGGGCCTTCTGACATCTCTGCCTGTCCTCGGCCACCATCAAGGCCCCCAGCCGGGCCCCAGCACACTTCTGAAGAGTACAAAAAGCAAAGCTCTTTTCTGTCCCCAAACCTGTGTAAAGCGAGACCCGCCGGCCAGGCCGCACCTCCTGAGTACGGGGATGGTGCTCCTACTACGTGGTGCCC